GTATAGAAATGCTGCTGATTTTGGTACGTTGATTCTGTATCCTGCAATAACTGTATTTATTTATTGATCAACTCTAGGGGTTTTCTGGTGGAAGCTTTATATGTTTCTAAATCCAAGATCATATCTTCATCAGATAAGGATAAGTTGATGTCCTCTTTTCCGATGTGGATGCCTTTCATTTTTTCCTCTTGCCTGATTGTGTGATGTTGAATAGCAGTGGTGAGAATGGGCCTCCTTGTGTTGTTCCTGTTTACAGAGGAAATGCTTTCAACGTTTCCTCATCATGTAACAGGGTAGCTATGGCTTTGTCATGAACAGCTTTCATTATTTTCAGGTATGTTGGTTGTTTTTTTCTTTTTTAGATGAAGTCTTGCTCTTTTCACCCAGGCTGCAGTGCAGTGGCAGGATCTCAGCTCACTGCAACTTCTGTCTAGCAGGTTCAAACAATTCTCCTGCCTCGGAGTCTTGAGTAGCTGGGATTACAGGTATCTGCCACCATGCTCGGCTAATTTTTGTACTTTTAGTAGTGATGGAATTTCACCATGTTGGCCAGGCTGCTCATGAATTCCTGACATCAGGTGATCCACTCACCTCAGCCTCCCAAAGTTTTGGGATTACAGGCGTGAGCCACGTGCCTGGCTGTTTTCAGGTATGTTTCTTTTATGCCTAGCGTGTTTGTTCCCTTTTCAGGACATGGCCTCACTCTGTCTTTCATGTCGGAGTGCAATGGCAAAATCAGAGACGCAGCTTTGAACTCCTGAGCTCCAGCCACCTCAGCCTACCAAGTAGCTGGGACTCCGGGTGCATGTCACCAGAGCTGGGTAATTTTTATTTTAATTTTTTTGTAGAGATCTGTGTTCCTCGTGTTGGTCTTGAACTGCTGATGTCAAGTGATCCCCCCAGTGCAGCCTCCCAAAAGCACTGAGTTTACAGCATGAGGCAGCGCCTGGCCCAGTGTCACATGTTAACATCAGCTCCTCACTGCCGGGCTCCAATTTTGGCAGTGACTGAAAACCCTAAGGGAGAGTTTCTGGTCAGGCCCTGCCCAGTCTGTGAACTTGGGGAAATGGAAAGATGGCATGTGGACAATTCTTTTGGAGAGCTGGCCAGACAAGTGCTGAGATGCCGTTTCCTGGAATACAGGACCATGAGATGTCCAGTCCAGCTGCCTGGTCCAGGGCCCCTGGCACCATCTAGTTTGGGAGCTCACCCAGAAGCGACCTCGGTTGCCCAAAGCAGCTGATCTTCCTACAAATCTGGTCCCATTTGAGAGATGTAACTGGGCCCTGTCCTCCAGGAAACCATTTCTGTGGGTGCCTGTCTTTGTCTTTGCCCTGGCTGGCCTCTCTGTACCATGAGAACTTGGATCTGTAAGGCTCTGCCTGTCAGCTTAGCATCACAGAGCAGCTCTTTTCCATTCCAGTGAGGATGCCCAGGCTCCTACACCCCTGCCCCAGATCTGACCATTCTCCCCTTCACTAACAGGTGACCTCCAACCCGATCCTGTTCCGTCTTCTGGCAGCTGCTCTGAGAAAGGGCATTTTGGCCTCAAGGGCTGAGCATGTCACTCCCTGTTTTCTGTTGATCTTTCCAGGGCTGTTTGGGACAGCCCTTGCATTTGTTTATCTACTGCTTCTTTGGAAGGCCATCAGGGCTTTCTTTCAGGGGTGGGTCTAAAAGTTCTGGTGAGATTTGTGTATGAAGTCTGCCTTCACTACCTGCATAGGACTAGCACGCTTCCGCTGCACGACTCTGCAATCTTACTACATTTTTTTTTATTTTTAATTTTATGTATTAATTTATTTTGAGACAGAGTCTGGCTCTGTCACCGAGGCTGAAGTGCAGTGGTGTGATCTTGGCTTACTGCAACCTCCGCCTCCTGGGTTCAAGTAATTCTCCTGTCTCAGCTTCCGGAGCAGCTGAGACTACAGGCGCATGCCACAACACCCAGCTGGTATTTATATTTTTGGTAGAGATGGGGTTTCCCCATATTGGCCAGGCTGATCTCGAACTCCTGACCTCAGGTGAACTACCTACAGGAGCCTCCCAAAGTGACAGAATTACAGGCTTACATTTATTTATTTATTATTTATTTGAGCTGCAGTCTTGAGCAGTCATTCTGGCTAGAGTGCAGTGGCCCAAACTTGGCTCACTGCACCTCTGCCTCCCGGGTTCAAGGGATTCTCCTGCCTCAGTGTCAACAGTACCTGGGTATAAAGGCAAGTGCCACCTTGTCTCACTAATTTTTGTATTTTTAGTAAAGACTGAATTTCACCATTTTGGTCAGGGTGGTCTCAAACTCCTGACTTCATTATCTGCCTGCCTCGGCCTCCCAAAGTGCTGGGATTACAGGCATGAGCCACCATGCTCCAGCACATTTATTTACTTATTTATTTAGAGACAGGGTCTCACTTTGTTTCCCAGGCTGAAGTGCAGCGGCTCCATCTCAGCTCACTGCAGTCTCTGCCTCTGGGGTCCAAGCGATTCTCGTGCCTTAGTTTCCAGAGTAACTAGGACTACAGGTGTGCCCCACCAGGCAGGGATAATTGTTTCTATTTTTTGTAGAGACGGGGTTTCACCAGGTTGGCCACGCTGGCCTCCAACTCCTGACCTCAGGTGATCTGTTTGCCTCATTGTATCAAAGAATTGGGATTATCGGGGTGAGCCACAGTGCCTGGCCTCTCACTACATTTAAATCATGAGGTAGTTCACACCTGTAATCCCACCACTTTGGGATGCCAAGGCAGGCAGATCACCTGAGGTCAGGAGTCCAACACCACCCTGGCCAACATGGGAAAAGCCCGCCTCTACTAAGAATACAAAAATTAGCCAGGCATGGTGGTGTCGGCCTGTAGTCCCAGTTGCTTCAAAGCCTGAGACAGGAGAATCACTTTAACCCGGGAGGCAGAGGTTGCACTGAGCCAAGATTGTGCCACTGCACTCCAGCCTGGGTGACAGAGCAAGACTCTGTCTCAGAATAATAATGATAAGAATAAAATACACGATGCCGGGACATCTCGGCCAGAGCGCCTGCACGAGCACAGTCATGTCGAGGCAGGGCTGCCAGTCAAGGTCCGGCTCCATCTCATCCAGCAGAAATGAAGTGAGCTTGCGGGTAGACAGGGGGACAAGATCCCAGGATCTCAGCCTCTGCTCATGCATCAGCTCTGCGACCGAAAGTCAGCTGGGGGTGCTCTGTGTGCCTTGGTCTCCTCAGCTATCAAACAAAGGGATTAAATGAGGAAGTCTTTTCCAGGTGGAATGATCTCAGATTTGGGGCAGAAGTGAATGGTCCTGCTCCCTGGGCCATGACAGTGGCCTGGCCTTGGCTGGACACAGCCACAAGGAATGGCTGGACTCAGCAGCCACACCAAACCCCAGACCAAGCAGAAACCTCCCAAGACTGAGGGGCTTGTGCCAGAGCGTAGGCTGCAGGTAAGAACCTGGGCCTGGGCTGTGTGTGGCAGGAGTCCTCCCTGTCCCAGGGCCCAGCACAGCAGTGGAGCACCAGCCACGTCATCCAGGCAGGATCTGTCCGGGACCCACCTGCAGGGGCAGAACAGCCTCTCCTAAGAGGCGATCGTCTCTCTCCAGGAAAGCAACAGTGCTCCCCGCCCCAACCAGACTGCCCGACTCAGTGGAGTTACTGCTGCTGCTCCAATGTCCTAACGCTGTCCAGCTGGCTCCTGCCTGTGCTCACCCCACACCCTCCCCCCTTGCCAGGCCTGCCTTCTCTGTGGGCTGTGCGTGGCCATCTTTGCCTGATTGAGCCCTGAGGTCTCCTGGGCACCCAGCCCATCCCTGCACCGGCTGCTTTCAGCCCCACTGGCTCAGGGCTTCTACCTAGTGGCTCTGATGATAAAATCAACATGCACGCAAGTCATCTCAGAGAACTTTAATGAAAGTGTCGGCAGTTCTTTCTCTCACAGTGGTGTTTAGGTGGATGAGCTCCATTGTAGTTGCTAAGACACCATCCACTTACCGAGAGAGAAAGTCAGGCTGCTTCAAACCCAGAGACCGATGTAAAAGAGCATCACTTGTGGTCAGAAAGTCTAGCAGCCATGCCTTGTGGGAGGTCACACTGGTGTCCGGGCCTTTGCCTGCTTTGCAGGGGAAAAGCCGATTCCCCCTCCCGGAGAACCCTTCGTTTGCCAGCCCTGCACCAGCTTTGCCACTGCACAGGCTTTTGAGGCAGGAGGCAGGTAAGAGACGCAGCCTCAGATCAAAGCAGCCATCACCCCTGGGGCCTAGCAGGAAAGGAGCCCTTTAGAACATGGAAAGTGTGCTCATCCCATCGTTAGACAGCACACATCGTACATAAATATAAGTTGCATGGGACGGAAGTGGGGCAGGGAATGGAAATCCACACACACATCGGCAGATTGCTTTCCAGTTTCAAGGTGACAGATGCACATCATGAGACCAGAGGAGACCGAGAGAAGGGCTGGATTTGGCTTTTCTAAGCAACATGTGTTCCCTTGCAGGGCTGGAGGGTTGTGGAGACAGACAGAGATGGAAGTCAGGACAGGGGAGCCCAGCGGGCCCAGAAAGGTACAGAGGGCAGAAGCTCCTGTTCTGTCCTCCCACCCACGAGGGCGACACTTCTTGCAAACAGTGGCTGTGCTCTCCCAGCAAGAAAGAAGCACCACTAAATCAACACTACACACAGACACAGATAGAAAACTTTCACGTGGCTTTGTTTTCTGCTCCCCGCCTCACCAGGTCCACAAGCAGAGAGGAGTGTGAGGCGCATGGCTCCAGTGTCAGACTCCCCAACATGCTGCGTGCTCAGCAGGATCTGCCCATGACACCCAGGGAACCCTCGCCCTCCCCACCTTGGGAGAGGTCACTGGACAGAGCTGCACGGGGTGCTGGTGTCATCCAGGACCCCACACACTTTCCTGAGTGTGATCCTGCTTCCCTCCTCTGGGCAGCTGCATCCTCTTCTCCTGCAGGGTTTTCTGGAATCTCGGCTCTGGGTTTGTCTCCCTTCTCCCCTTTCTTTGCCCAACCCCCTTTTTCTGAAAAAGTGAGGCAATTGTTTATGGGTTAGTTTGTTGAAAATAAGTGGCGGCCTCCACGCTTCTGTTTTCTTTCAGCCTTGTGGTCATGCAGGGTTACAAAGGATGCCAGGGCTCCCACACAGGTGCTGGCAGAGGGGGCGGAGGGTGGTCCTGTGCCTCTGCCTGCTCGGGGAGGGAGGCTGTCCCCCCGCCCCTCGTCCCTAGGCCTGGCTCCTTCCTGACCCTCTGAATATCCTGTAGTCCAGAGACTTCAGAACCCACTCCTGAGAAGAGCAGAGCCGGGCACTTACAGGAAGACAAAATGCTGTCACTCCAGGATCTTATTAGGTGTCTGAATCCGTTAGGAAAAAAATTAGGAACTATGTATAAAACTTAAAATATTCAAGAATTAAAAGGCTATTTGAATCAAAGTTTTCAAACATGTCATCAGGAAGCTTCTACCACTAAGTGGGGACTTTTACAAAAGTTGAGCAAGTTCCCTGAGTGGAGAGAAAAATGAAGCCACCTGTGCTGGGGACACTTGGGTCAGGGAGAGTGTTGGTATTAGGGAAGCCTGAGAAGTCCTGGCCTGTGGAAGCCAAACAGGAGAGCGTTCGCTGTAGGGAGGTCAGGATCAGGGATGAGGTTGCTCTCCCTGGAGGAGGAACCCTAAAGTGCACAGCCTGGGACTCCCTCCCCTGGTGTCCAGTCCCCCAACATTTCATAGGCATCCTGGAGCTGCCTTCCAATAAGGACAAATATGGCAACAAAAGACCCATTTCTGCACAAAAATCCTTCTGGAAAAAAGAAAAAAGAAAGCCGTGAATGGAGTGAAAATGTTTCCCAGGGCTGACTTAGCCTCTCAATCCTTGTTCTAAATGCAGTGTGGTTTCTGAGTCAGGGAATGGAAGAGGCCCCTCCCACACAGGGACAGGGCCATGATCCCAGAGGATGAAGCAGCAGAGTTTATTCAAGATACAACAGTGAGGGGATCCCGTCATGTTCCCGTCTCCTCGGAGAGGGCACATCTCGAGAAGTGATCCAGGAGGAATCTTTTAAACTCTGATAAGTTCCTAAAAACCACTCCCTTCATCCTGTCCCTCAGGGCCTGGCCCAGATTCTGAGAAGCACTGGCTTGGGGTGCCCTCGGGTGGCCGTGTGGAAAACCGTGGTTTAAGGCCAGTCTGGGGCTCCCAGACCTGGCCAGGATGCCCCCAGGCCACCTGTCCTTCTGCTTTGACTCACTGTCCCTTGGCAGATGGCCTGATGCTTGGGGCTGGCCCAAAGACACCTCAGGAAGGTTTGCTTCCCACTCTACAGATGGTCCGATTATCCAGAGGTTTCAGGGATGTCTATCTGCCTTCTGGAGATGGACAGGGGCCTTAAGACTTCGGTTGAGAACAGGATGCTCTGTCTCTGACTGTCTGGGGCAGGGATGGCCTCCAGCTGCAGGAAGTACGGCAGCACCTGGACCTGCCGGAAAGGGTGGGAAAGAGGAGGGAGGCTCAGAGGGTGCTCACAGCTGGTGATCTTTAGTCCCTAGTCCAGCTCAGGTGCTGGGGCCTCTGCTGCTGCCATGAAGCCTTTACAGTGAGACGGGGAGTTGGGGGTGCGGATGCAGACAAGGCATGACTTGGGGGGTTATTTTAGAGGTGCACAGGGCCTTGCTCTGTCACCCAGGCTGGAATACAGTGGCTCCATCATGGATCACTGCAGCCTCTAACGGCTAGGCTCAAGCCATCCTCCCGTGTCAGCCTCCCCAGTAGCTAGACTACAGGTGTGTGCCACAAAGCCTGACTCATTTTTCTTTTTCTCTTTTCTAGAGCTGGGGTTTGCTGCATTGTCCAGAGTGGTTTCAAACACCTGGGTTCAGTTGGCCTGCTGTGGTCTCTCAAAGTGCTGGGACTACAGGCATGAGCCTCCACATCCGAACACTCGGGGCGGTTTTAAGTCCCTAGCAAGGGGGTGCTGGTGCAGGACCAAGAGGTGGCCTGGGCCCCCCCAACACTCTCATCCATGCAGACCTGGGCAAGTGTCTCTCTCTGAATCTCAGGCACCACCACAGACAATGCAAGTAGGGAGCTGGGCAGGGCAGGACTGGGGGTGTGGCAGGCAGAGGCCACCTCTGTCAGGTCGGGGTGGCATGGGCTGGATGGAGCCTGTCTTCCCACACGTGGGTCATGACCTCCAAGGACCAGCTGTCGGTCATGGTGATGGGCGGCTGGGATTGGCAGAAAGCTCACTCTCCTTCTGTGAGGCTTGAGCAGTGTGGTGCCAAAGACCATGGGGAGGTTGTGCACGGACTTTTATTGACTGCCTTTTTCTTACCACCCTGTCGAGGACCGAAGCAGAGGGTGCTGTTTCTACGCCACCACCCGGAAGGAGGCAGAGGGGCTGGGCCATGCTGGAGTCCTCAAGGAGGGAGCGACCTCGACCCTGGCTGTGCTGCAAGCTGATTCCAGCCCTGGTACTTGTGGGTCTCAGTGGCCCAGGACGAGGGGTTAGCTCTGGGCTGGTGGGGAGGTGTCCTCCACGGTCGGGAAGTGAGGGAGTTGGGGGGTTCAAGTGCACTGCTGGCCTTGGCCAAAGCTCTGAGCTCTTTGTGAAGCCACAGTGCAGAGGGGGGAGCAGGGCAAAGAGGAGAGGCTGGGGCGGGGGTGGCAGTGGCGCTGGTCCCCAGAGGCAGCGAGAGGCAGTAGATGGGCTGGGGGAAAAGGTCCTCGGTACTGGGGGTCTGATGTGAGCAGGGGGGCACCCTGTGGCCTGGGTTTCTGCAGCCCTCCCTGGGCGGCCATGAGAGAGCCGGGCTACCTTTTCATGTGGTCCCGAAGGAAAAGGAAGGTGAGCAGCTTGGCCTCCAGCGGGGACAAGGGCAGGGTAAGCATGAAGTTCTCCTTTGCAGCGGGGTCTGAAATTCCTGCAGAAGTCTGTGGGTTACTCCTCATGGTCACAACGAGCTGGAGACCTCTCCCGAGGTGGTGACATGGAGCACCCAGGACACGTGTTCCTGAACAGCCCAGGCTTGTCATCATCCTCACTCCCACAGCGCTGGCCCCCAATGAGGACCCTGTGAAGGGCGCCAGTGTGGGGTATGAGCCACCTGAATGCCTTTTCTCTGCCTCACAGGGGTCAGCAGCAGCTGGAGAACAGCAGCAGGAGGTGGCGTGAGAGCAGTGGCTCATGGGCAGAGCTGCCTGTGGGAAACTGTGGCTGCCACCCCCTCCCGAGGGCAGCCCAGAGTAGTGGAGGCTCAGCATAAAATGAAAAAGGGAAGTGAGGGACACAAGGAGGTGGGAGGTGGGTGGCCCCAGCCCCACAAACTATGCAGAGACCCTCTCTTCACCCTAGACTCCACAGGGGCACCTCAGGCTGGTAGAGCAGGTCCTCTGTGCATGGGCCCAGGAGGCAGACCTGCCCTAAGGGTCATGCAGAGGGCATAGGGCCACACGCACCAGTGCCCTGCTAAGACATCAGCCTCCAGGTTGACTCAGGGTCAGGCCAGATTTGATCCTGTGCTTGACTGGGCCAGGACCCGTAGCTAGAGCACCTGGGGACCCTCGTTCAGCCCTGGTCTGCGGGAAGGGGGACAGCAGACTTTAGGACCCCACAGCACAGCAGTGCTGAGCATTTTACTCTCTTGGTCTCCTTGAGGAATAGGACAAGAGTCCTCTGGGAACAGACGAGGACTTACACGACAGCCTCGGTTCTGTCCCCCGCTTTCTGAGCTTGGTTAAAACACTGACCATGGCAGAAAGGACACAGCTTGGGTTCCCACACCTCACTTTCCACAGCCCCCAATGGCAGCAGTGCACATGGAGCCGCCTCCTATGACGCCCCGCCCTCCAGTGCTCACCGATGCCCTCATCGAAGTTGCTTAGAACTTGTCAGTGAGGAGGGGCTCGGGCAGCTCACAGAAGTAGAGCTTCAGCGTGCCTGCAATGGCGTGTACGTCCATCTCACTCATCACCATCGACACGTCCCTGTTATCTGCAAAGAACATGGAAGTGCTGCCGCCTCCTTGAGGATCCTGAGTGGGTCTCCAGCCATCCTTGCCTTGGCTAAAGCACCGTCCCTGCCACGCTGGCCATTGTCCTTCGGGTCCCTCCCTGGCTTTGAGCCGCTCATGTTCCTCCTCCCAAGAGCTGTGCGTGGTTCTGTGTCTGTGTAGAGATGATGGAGGGGCGTGTGCATCCCCATATTTCTCCCCTGCTTGGCCCAATGTGACGTTCAGGAGGAGGCCAGTGTGGCAGGACTCAGAGCCTGCATGGGAATCGGGTGGCTCTGCCCTGATCATAGCAACCACCCCTGTACCAGTCTTCTGACAGCAGGAAGGCTGTGGGAGAACCCGATGGGCTTCAGTGTTTGAACCAGTGTCTTCCTTTGGATCCGGTTGGCCACTGGAGCTGACCTCCCACCACAGGCCAGGTCCATCCTGTGCCCCCAGAGGGACTGAAACTATCACACGGCCCACCCAGGGGTGCTGAGCATTCTAGGGGTCCTGGTCTGGGTGGCTGGTGTGTGTCCCAAAGAAATATCAGAGGCACAAAGTCCTATTGCTTTGAAGTTGTTGGACAAGGACACTCTGGGTTCTCAGTGCTCTCCCCTGGTGTTTGGGGCAGGTCCAGGTCCTTCATACCCCGTGAGGGGTGGTGAGATGGAGGTGGAGATGGTGCAGCCCCGGCCTGAGCTGGGCCCCATCAGTGCCCTCTGCCGCCACATCCTCACACTGGACAGTAGACAGAACACACTGAGTCCCAGGCTTCCCCACCTTATGTCCACCCTCAATGCAGGAAGGCCAAGGCCCCCCAGCAGCCCCTGGTCCACCAAGCAAGCGGCATGGGTGGGTAGGATGGTTCAAGAACTGGCTTCTACAGAAATTCCTTCTACAATTCTTGTCTTCTGTTTCTTAAAAATAATAAAACAGTAAATGAAGAAAAGACACAGTGAAGAATGTGACGTGACCCGGCCATGGAGCGCTGTGAGATCTCATCGTGGACACTGACGCCCACACCACCATCACGACCCGATCCAGCTAGTGACAAAGGCTGCCTTCGGTGCCTGGGTGTCCGTGGGCACT